CTTCTCCCTCTCTGCCTCCGGTTTACCGGGCAGTTCTGTTTGACGATTTGTGACGATATATACGACATATATATTATATGTGTATATATATAAATATGACAATATATATAGCACAGAGCTCATTAGCGTGTGAAGCTATTTGAAATGTGTTCCTCGTTTCATATGTTTTTTTTTTTGTTGTTGCTGTTTTTAATCATGTCAAATGCTTGTGATTCCCAGACGAGTTGCATTCACGACCCTGATTGCCCCTTTTTCTAATTCTTTTATTTTTTGGGGGTCAAATAGAATTAGGAGAAGGATTAAACAAGGATGGCACGCATAAATCCTTTCTCTAATTCTATTTCACTTTTATAAATAAAAAAAAAGAGAAGTGATCTGGAATGATGACCCACTTGCACGGGTTAACAGATAACATTGCAATTAATGATAAGTGCAATGTCCTTCTGGACACAAAGAGAGAGAGAGAGAGAGAGAGAAAGAGAGAGAGAGAGAGAGAGAGAGAGAGAGAGAGAGAGAGAGAGAATGCGGAGCAAGTCTTCGGTTACGGCTCATCAAGTATCAGGTCCGAGAATAGGACCTGGAACAAGTGGAGGTGTAGATTATGAACCTTGGTCACTGGAGTTTGACGATGTCTTCCCTCAAGTTTGTCCCATGCTTTCGCAGTGTCCTGGCAGCAGCACTCATTCTGGCCTTGAGTACGCTAGTCTGCATGGTCCAGGGAACGAACCTGGTACTACTCTTGATGCAGGTGCAGACAATCGGAATGGCGACGGTCAATCTGACTTTTTTTATTCAAGTTATGATATGGGGATATCGGAGATCGATTGCACTTACCCAGACCTTGTCAACATCCTATCCCTTGGCAAGTTAACGTGTAGGGAGGAGGAGGAGGAGGAGGAGGAGGAGGTAGAAAAGGAACTGAGGATTCTCGAAAGTCCCATCATGGTGCTATTTGCGGACGAAGAGAAGAGGGAGGGAGGAGGGAGAAAGGAGGATGAGGATGAGGAGGAGGTTACGGCGGCTGTGACCGGGATCGTTCCAGGATTTCCGTTGTCGTCAACAGCGCATGTTACGTCGAACAGCATGCTGGACAACGGAGCAGCGAGAGCACCAAACGCGAATGCAGCAGATGGAGAGAACGCGGAGGATCTGCGGGAGAGAAAAGGGAGGGAGGAGTGTCCGGTCATTATGCTATTTGCGGACGAAGAGAAGAGGGAGGGTGGTGGGAGTAAGGAGAAGGAGGAGGTGACCGCGGCTGCGACCGGGATCGATCCAAGATTTCCGTTGTCGTCAACGGCGTATGATACGTCGAACAGCATGGTTGAGAATGGAGCAACGAGAGCACATGACGCGAATGCAGCAGTGCCGGCAGAGAGAGAGAATACGGAGGGTATCCAGGAGAGAGAAGGGAGGGAGGAGGTGACATTGGGTGTCCATAGTCCGTCGGACAGAGAGGTGGATACTGAAGCGGGGAGCGAGAGGGGGGACGGCCAGGGAAGCATGATCGGCTGCCACGTGGTGCCGATAATTGTTCTCGAGGAGGAAAGGGAGGTGGAGGTGGAGGAAGAGGAGGAGGAGGAGGAGGAGGAGGAGGAGGAGGAGGGAGGGGGTAACATTCTTAGGTGGAAAACGAAGGGGGCAAATATGAGCGAAGGTGGGAAGGAGAGCAATAAGGAGGAGGAGGAGGAGGAGGAGGAGGAGGAGGAGGAGGGAGTCCAGGAGGAGATGATGTCCCTGAGCACGGTTACGTCGTCGAGAACATATAATCTGTCGAGCAGCGAGGAGGAGGAGAAAAAAGGGTGTGAGGGGTCTGAGGACAGGGAGGGGGAGAAGAAGTTGTTGATGCTAAGCGTATCTTCGGACGGATACGAGAGGAATGAAGAGAGCAAAGCAGGGGAAGGAAAGGAAACTCAGGAGAGGACTCTTACTTGTCCCGCGGTACCTGTTCTGGAAGAAAAGAAGAAACGAGATTGGGAACAGAAGGCACGGGAGGACGAAGCGGATACAGCGAAGATCGAAAATAGGCTGAGTAAATGTCGCATGGCGTCTATGGTAAGCCAGTCATTGGACTCGTCGCATAAACAAGAGAAAGGAGAGGAGGATAGGGAGGGGGAGGAGGATGGGGAGGTCGGGGAGGGGGGGGAGGATGGGAAGGATGGGGAGGGGGAGAAGAAGAAAGATGCGCAAAAGGAGGCGGCGAAGGTGGTGCGAGTTGGAGAAAGAACGAACGAGGAGGAGGAGGAGGAGGAGTGGATGTCAAGATGTCCCATGCTGCAGGCTGTAATTGGTGATTGCCCAGAAGGGCCAGAACAATGGGCGGAAAGTGAGGAGAGGAAGCAGAGCGTGGGTGATTCGGGGAAGGGGATAAGATACGCAATGCTGCCGGACATAGAACCTTTGCCAAGTCGGAACGAGGAGAGGAAGGGAAGTGTCTGCGAGGAGGAGGAGGAGGAGGTGCAGGTCCCTCTGCAGGAGGTCGGGGAAGCCGAGCGTTGCGTGCCAAACTATCCCACAATGGTGGCTCAAAGCCGGATTGTGGACGATGTCGCAGAGAGGCAACACGGTGTGCATCCTTCGAAGGCGGAGGGGAAGGAGGGGGAGGAGGAGAAAGGGAGGGGGTGTGGGAAGGAGGGGGAGGATGGCGAGGAGGGGGAGGAAGAAAAGGTGGGAAGCGCTGAGAAACATCTAATAATGCCCGGTCTGAGCGAGAGGTTGGGGGTAAAGGAGGACAAGCAGGGGACAGAAGAACGGAAGGAGAGGATGGGGGCGAAGGTGGATAGGCAGGAGGAAGAATGGGAGGAGGAGGACGAGAGGGAAGAGTCAGTTTGGCAGTCCCTTACGGAAGGGTTGGAGGATAAGACAGTCAGCCCCCTGACGTTTCCCATGCCATCGCTTCCAGGCGATACGTCGCTCCCAAGTTTGCACGAGCTATCGGTTGGTAAGGAGGACAAGGAGGAGGACAAGGAGGAGGAAAAGGAGGAGGACAAGGCAGGAGAGAAGGAGAAGACAGTCAGCCCACTGAAGTTTCCCATGCCGTCGCTTCGAGGCCATACGTCCGTTCAAGATTTGCACCAACGATGGTCACTAGGCAAAGAGGAAAAGGAGGAGGAAAAGGTGGAAAAGGAGGAGGAGGAGGAGGAGGAGGAGAAGGAGGAGGAGGAGAAGAAGGGGAAGGAGGAGAAAGAGGGAGAAGAGAAGGAGAAAGTAGAGTTGATTTCGTGGGAGTCTCTGGCAGATCAGCACAGCTATTGTTATAATCATGACTACCAGCTTCGGGCTCACTATCCTTCCTTCGAGATGGTCGCATTGGTCGGTGGTTCGATTCTCGATGCAGACGCCGATGATGCTGGTTATGAGTCTTATGATGATGGGTCGGTTTTGCAATCGTCAGCTATTTTTAGCCACACAAGTGGCACAATCGTGACATTGTCGGATGAAGATCGTGGGCCTCCTGTGGAGGCGGAGGGCCTCCTGAAGGACCAGCAAACTATTCATGATTATCTCGATTCGACCACATTTGATATGACGTCCACGAACGTACCCGGGATTGGTTTCGGGCCTTACGGGGCGGGGTTGGAGATTTCGTACAGTGACTGTCTGGGTCCGTTAGTAAACCCACCGACGGCGACGTCTGCTAACGGTCACAAACGGTCTGAGAACTCGTCCGCTGTGGTGCTTTCTGAACAATCTGAACCAACTGGCAGGGCGAGCACGATCTGCTCCGAGGTGACGGCTAATCTGGTCCATTTTCATCCAGCTTGTAGTGGAGACTCTGGAGAGCCCCAGGCTCGAGCGCTGAACTGGTCGCTAAGCAGACCAGATCCTCCTGTGAATTGTCATCCAGCTGATGGCTGTGACAAGCAGACCTGCTCCACGTACTTGTCCGATCTTGAGCATTGTCAAGCAACAACTAGCAGGAGTGCGGAGCCTCGGAGCTGGACCTCGTCCAGAACAGCAGCAGCAGGTCTGGTTCATTGCCAATCATCATCGACAAGAGAGGGACTGAGTCACACCAGGTTCAAGGACACGGGGGGATTGGGTTTAGGTCGTTGTCGGACATCTGCCCAAAGCGCTGAGGACTCTGAGGAGCATGGCAGCCCGAATGTGTCCAGCAGAGGTATTGCAGACGTGGTCCGTTCTAAGACCTCTGATGAGGACCAGAAGCAGTGGAAGACATGGGCCTGGCCCGGAAACCTGTCCGATCTGTGTGATGGCCCGTCGTCAGATTCGCCACACGCGGAGTGTTCGAGTCCCACTTGGATGTCGGCTAGAGCCTTGGCAGAGCTGCTCTGCTGTGACTCAGCAGCTGTTGCACAGTGTCAGCCTGAGAAATTGGCATGCCCCACCTACAAGTTCGATCAAAGTTGCAGTCAGCTGAGTGAGGAGGTCTACTATTTCCACAAGGACCAGAACAGCTCTCCTGGTTCATGGGCGATGTTTACTCATCGCGATGGTCTGCAGTCTGCACCAGGTCCGTACCAGCTTGGATATCACAGTGACACGTGTGATGAAGTTCTGTACCAGGTTGCAGTGCCTTCTCGAGATCGAGTCCCAGGTGCTGGTCTGCAGTCTGGACCAGGTCCGTACCAGCTTGGACATCACAATGACACGTGGCTTGGACATCACAGTGACACGTGTGATCAAGTTCTGTACCAGGTTGCGGTGCCTTCTCCAGATCGACCCCCAGGTGCTGGTCTGCAGTCTGGACCAGGTCCGTACCAGCTTGGATATCCTGGTGAGATGTGTCATCGAGGTCCGTACCAGGTTGCAGTGCCTTCTCCAGATCGGTCCCCAGGTGCAGGGGTGGTACCTCCTCAAGGAGCATTGTGGCCTGCAGCCCCCTCCTCCTCCCAGCCACAGGACGTCTGTTGGTCCAACCATGCCAATCTTCCGATAACAACGAGGAATGACTCAGAATCCTTGACTATTGTTCTCAGTAGAGCAATGAATTGCGCTTCGAGGGACTGCAGTGAACTCTCATTTCCGTTGACGGCATTGCCATGCTATGCCACCCTTGCTGCTGCTGCTACTTCAGTTGCAATACCCCCTCCGAGGCAAAACTACGGCACACATCCTGACCATTCCCAGACCAGAACTCATTTACCATTGACAGCAACGGAAATCCATGAGGAGGTGGGTAGATCACAACGGTCTTGTACTTTGTCTTATTTGACCCCGAGCGATTGCAGTGCAGGCACCACAAGTCTAAGTGTTGACGTCACAACCACAAGTGCAAGAGGTACAGATAGTGTTGACGTCACAGCTGCAAATGCCAGAGGTACAAATAGTGTTGACGTCACAGCTCAGACAGCTGCAAATTTAAAAGGTACAATTAGTGTTGACGTCACGACTGTGAATGCAAGAGGTACAAAAAGTGTTGACGTCAGTCACGTCACGGCTGCAAATGCCAGAGTCACAGATAGTGTTGAAGTCACAGCTGCAAGCTCAAAAGGGACAAATAGTGTTGGCTTCAGGACTGTGAATGCGAGAGGTACAGAATCTACAGATGGTGTTGAGCTCACAGCTGCCAGTTCGAGACTGGGACTAGGTTGTGCGGGACCTGAGCAGTTTGTCGTGCCGGGACCGGACACTGCGGCCGGTTCCGGTCAGGAGCCGCTGAAGGAATGTCTTTCTCTAGAGCAGCCACAGGAGGACTCGGGTTCCACCTTCAAGCATGACTGGAGCTCTTCATTAGATCCTACAGGTTCTCTCTTCATTCCCAACGGCTGGAACTTAGGTGATACTTCTCACCTGAATGACAAGTGGGACAACATGAGTGACAAGTGGGACCACATCAGTGACAAGTGGGACAACATGAGTGCCATGCTTGAGATGCAGCAGCTGCAGCTACAGGTTGATGAACAGGTGTCTGCACAAGGTCGTGACATGGACGACGATGAGGATCTCTCTGTCTTCGTCTCGTCCTTGTTAGAAGATTACGAGAATGAACTTGGACAGCAAGAATGCCAAGAAAATCGTTTTCTCGACTTCCAGTCAATTAGGCCAGGCACTCACGAGGGCCATGACTCTATTATCGCTGCAACCTCCGAGCTGTCAGAGCTGGCATTGCGAACTCACGCGTATTTTGACAGTCGAGACAACCGTCCCAATTATGGCGATGTTGATCGCATCCCCTTATCCCTTGCCGCTGACCTGGCGTTGTCAGAGGCCCTATTATCACCAAACTGTCAGAGAGTTCCCAATACCAGCCCAAATCCCAGTCCCATTCCCATTCCCATTCCCAATTCCAGTTCCAGTTGTAGTCCCCAAGATAGTGTCTGTGGAGCAAGTCTCTGGCCCAATAGCAGGTCCATCCTCAGCACCACTTGTGTTCCCGATGATCCCGATCCCGATCCCAAACCTGATCCTGTCCTTGATCCCAAGCCCAGCCATGGTTCTGATCGCAGTCTGACTCCCACTCTTGATCCAAAACGGCACCCGAGGGGGTTGAGCCCTAATCCCAGACCCATTCCCAAGCAGACACAGAGTCTCAATGCCAGCCGAAGAGGAAGTTTGACACCAACTATGGGACCGTGTGGCAAGTCTGCTATTGGTAGCTTTAATCAGTGTAAGTTTGCACATAGAAGGCATTCTACTGTGGACTGGGAAAGACTCGGCCCGAATGCCTGTTCGTCTGTCATTTCTGGTCCTGTTCCTGATCCCATAGTAGCTGGTCATACCATCGGTCTGAGCTCATCAGGGCATCATCTAGGAAGCGGCAGTTGTGGACCTAAATCTGCTCCCCTTTCTGAGCCAACCTACAGTTCCAACAGGATTCCCCGCACCGAACCCAGCCCTACAATCATTTCCGACCCCCGGTGCAGTACCACTTTTGTCTCCGTTCCTGGTTCGAACACCGGTTTAGCTCCCAAAGGAAGGCGCAGAGGTCGTGGCAGTACCAGTTCCAAATCTATCCCTGCTCCCGCACGTGGTCTGGAAGCCAGTCCAGGTTCCGGACCAGTATGCGACTCTCAATGCAGTTCCAACCCCAGCTTTACTCTTGATCCTGGCTCCGTTTTGGAACCCGACTTGTGTCCCAATCCCAATGGCTATCCTGGAATCACGTCCAATGGCAGTTCCTATTCTGTCCCTGGTCCCATCACTGGGTCCAAGGCCAGTTCAGGTTCCAACCCACGGCTTAGAGCCTTTTCAAGGTCCATTCCCAGTTCCATTCCTGGTCCAATATCTGGTCCGAAAGTGAGTCCCAGTCCTAGCGGTACTCTTGAACCTAAGTTCGGGGGGCGTACTCACCGTGTTGGCTGTTTCGATCCCAACCCTTTCAGCCCAGGGCCTGCTCAGTCCCACGCTTCTCTCTGTTCTCAGACTGCTGGCACGAGCTCCATCCAAAAGGACGTTAATGTCATTAGCGCACCCCAGACTGTGAAGCCGGAGGTGGGATGGTGCAGAGAAGGCAGCCATGTGATCCACGGTAATGGGGTGATTGGTACCCCCGATAGACTCGGTGCAGTGGAGTTGAGCGGCACTGTGCAAAGGTGGAGACACTGTAGAGGGACCACGGGTACCCGCAAGCGGAAAGTTGAAGTCCAAGACCAGTACTTCTGGGCGCGAGCCATCTGCAAGGTCCTTGCAGATACGCCTCCAGTATCGGCTAGCTGGGGTGTGGACCAGCAAGAGGGAGAGAGGGCCCCAATCGAGCATGACACCCAGGCCCAGGCCGCCCAGCAGCAGTCACCAATTGGAGGCTGTGAGGTTGGAGATGGTGGCAGCACTGGCAGGGAGTCCAAGTTCAATGAACTGGATCTGAGGCAAGCGGAGACAGTGAAGGGGACAACGAGGAGAGGAAGAGGAGGCAAGCGCACTAAAAGTATGCAGAGCCGAAGCGACGTCGATGGCCTGGAATCTAGCAATCCAAAGAAAATGCCCCAAGTCTCAGTGCAGGCAACTTACCTAAAACTTAACTATGGTTTGGGACCAACTGAGAGTGGTGAGAGGGTTAAGGGGAGAAAGACACGAAAACCACGTCAATGTAGCGGTAAGAGAATAAACTTCAAGGATGCGCACGACAAGAACAAAGGAAATACGAGTGTCATGCGACAATGTTCAGGAGTGAGTGTCCCGTCGGACCCATCCGCTTGTCGACAATTTAGAGAAAAACCTCTTCCAGGAGTGAGTGTGCCATTCACTTGTCGACGATTTCGACCAGAACCTCTTCCTCGCCAAGCTTGTGGGATATCTATGGAACGTCGATCAGCAGCCCCACATGACGGACCTGGACCTCGTCTCGATTTCCAACGAGAAAGTGTTTCTGTTGGAACAGAACCTCTTCCTTGCCAAGCTTGCGGGACATTGTTGGGATCTCTATCAGCAGCCCCACATGATGGACCTGGTCTAGAAGTTCAACGAGAGCATGTTTTTGCTGAAGTATCTGGTCCACCATCTGGTCCAGAATTTGATCCAGGCGCCGTCCGTGCCGACGCATCCAGTCCATGTCAGGAACATGGGGTGACTGTGCACATCGGCAGAGAGGGCAGGCACAAGAAGACGAGCTTGCACGGGGCCGCCGCTAAGGTTTGGTGTATCTGCCAAAGGACATCGTCTCTAGAGTCTGGTGTGCATCCTGAGCTGAACCCAGCTACTTGTGGACGTTCTGATCAGACTGATCCTGAGCCTGAGGGTGATGTTTTGGATGAAATGGTAGCAGAGGCCTCTGGGAGGACCCAGGTCTGTGGACCTTCCGATGAGCAAACTGGGAGTAAACCAGGTCCGGAAACTGTGCCAGCACCTGGTTCAAACCGCGATAAACAAGTCGAGCAGCAGCAGAGCGACAACCTTCCTTCTCCTCCTCCTCCTCAGGCAGCACTCCTTGTTGCCCGCGGTTCGAACCCGCCGAAGGAGCTACTGCCAGATGCGCGCCAAGCTGCGCACGCTGATAATGTTGACGTCAACGCTGCGTTTAGCAAGCAGATCATCGTGCCGGAGCCCGAAGCGTCGGTTTGTTCTGCTGCCGTCCAGCAGCAGCTTGACAACGCCAACCGCGGAAGCAGCAGCACCAGCCGCTCAGGGCAGCAGCTTACCTCGACCTCCTCCAGGCCCTACTGTGGTGCATCATCAGCGACGCCGGACTCACGTTCGCAAGAAGACACAGGTCACACAGCAGCAGCAGCTCCGCGTCCCGCCGCCGTTGATGTTCAAACCGATCCCGACACATCCGTTGTTGCTGACGTGGCGAACATAAAAAATGTGGATAAGCTTCTGATGGCGACGGCCTTAAGCAACCGGTTCACGGGATCCCAACCAAGATGCTGCGACCTGAGCTCGGTCTCGACCGGTGCAAGGAGACACGACGAGGGTGAAGCTGGCGTGAGGGAAAAGGAGTTACCCGCGAGGAAGAGCAGTGGCGTCACTGGCGTGTCAGTGACCGGGACCCCGGCGTGCACGTCGGATCTTACGTGTGCAACACTCGCATCTGCCAGCGCAGGTACCGCAGCGTGCGGCTCCGCTGCAGTCGCCGCAGAGATCGGGACCTCCGCGTCGATAATCGCCGGGGAACAGGCACCACCTCGTGGCAGACTTAACGACGGGCAAGACGAGGATCGAGAAGGTCCTCCTAGTACTAGCGTCTTCCCCCGATCTCAACGCACCCTCATCATGGACGAGTACAAGCTCTTGTCTCTCGTTGGACAGCAACACAGGGTCTCAGCGCACCACTCGCCAAAAGCCACAAATCTTTTGAATGAACCTCGACGACGTGCAAGTCCAGATACATTCAAAATGTTAACGTTTGGCGAGTGGTGCGGCGAGGCGGACAGTCATGATGAGCTTGTGCTGTGTTCGGGCGAAGACGGCTTAGACGGTCGTCCACTGATCTCCAATCGGAACCAGTCAGCGTTGACCGAAGAGGGGGAGGAGGAGGAGGAGGAGGAGGAGGAGAAGCTTACTGCTCATCAAACTGCAGGAAAAGCTGACTTGGACGCTCATTACGGGGGAGCTCTTGCAGAGGCAGGTGATTTCAACGTGAGGAAACTGCATGCCTCTCGTGGATCTGGCTACGGCGTGACGAGCAAGACCGACAGTAAAGCGCATCACCATGATCGTGATCAAGGTCATGACGATGATGACGGAGCCCTCGAAGAAGATGTTGACGTCCACTTGAAATCCCATCGCCACGGTGTACCGCGCGAATGGGTTGACGTCAGCTTGAAAACGCCGCATAACCATGCAACCAACCCAGGTTCGAACGATGCACCGCCTGGTTCTGCCTGTGAGTGGAGTGGACGTGGTGACCGTGGCAGCGAGTGTCGGGATAGCGGAAAGACCCTAGAGGGCAGGGAAACGGACATGTTGAACAGACTGAGCACGTTAGGTCTTCCAGCAAGCACGTCGTTTTCACAGCCGACGTCGAATCTTGTGACATCGGCTGTTTCCACATTTTCACATCCCGTCCTGGTCGAGCTTCCACCCTGTCCCTCGGCTCTTCACGGATTGAAGAGCGGTGGAGATGCTGTCGAAATGAAGTCCCACAGCGAAGAGAATGACAGGACTAACAGGAGGTGGGAGGGTAGGACCAACAACAACATCAACAACAACAACAACAACAACAACAACAACAACAACAACAACAACAACAACAACTGCAGCAGCAGTAGCAGCAACAAGAACAACACTGGCGAGACCTCGTTAGTGTGGTCAATCGCATGTGAAACTACCGGCACAGGAGATGTGGTCACGTGTGCAAGGACGAGAGAAAGTGGCGGTTTGGGAGAGGCAGAGTGTGTTCACACTGATTTCACATTGGTACTCGTTCCGGAGCCGCCTGCTTTTGCACTGCGGCATGAAATGGGACAACGAGGGGCAGAAGCGAAGGATGACGTTAACGCAGGTGCGAGTTCAGGGGAAGAAATAGCGAGAGAAGGAGGAGGAGGAGGAGGAGGAGGAGGGGGAGGAGGGAGTTCGCTGCGAGAAAGTGACGGCTTGGCAGAGACATTGCGTCTTCGCACTGATGCATGCGCTGATCATGCGCTAGCTGTGGCATGCAGCAGCAGCAGAGACGCTCGGTCAGTTGAATGTGTCAGAATTGTCGATGACGTCAACGGGTTAAATATGAATGAGGGGTCGGTAGAGCCTCCTACCAAGCCGGAGATCTCGGCGGCCTCCCTCGGTCATCAGGAAGAGGGATCACAGACGAGCACGCAAGGTCCGAACTTGGGTGGAATTCCGGACCGGATTCCGAACCGGGATCCTGGCCAGATACCGAACCGAAATCCTAGCCAGATACCTAACTGGAATCCTGACCAGAAGGAAGCAACAGGGCCGAGTTCACACTTGGCACGATCAGCTCATGGCACGAGATCGTGTGACAGCTCACTGCAGGACGAGCTCGCTGGGAGGCTGAGAGTCTTGAGACCTAGAACTTGTTTACACTGGGAAGAACCGAACGGGAATCCTGACCGGAAGGAAGCAGCAGGGCCATGTCCACACTTGGGAGAATCGGATGGCACGAGGTTGTGTGACAGCTCACTGCAGGACGACGAGCTCGCTGGGAGGTTGCAAAGAAAGAAACCGAGAACGTGCTCACACTGGGAAGAACCGGACCGGCATCCTAACTGGAAGGAAGCGCCGGGGCCGCGTTCACACTTGGGAGAATCCGATGACACGAGAATCACGAGATCGTGTGACAGCTCACTGCAGGACGAGCTCGCTGAGACGTTGCCCAGAAAAAAAACGAGAACGTGTTCACACTGCGAAGAACCCAGTTTTGGAACTTTTGGGCAATGTCATAAGCTATCGATGCAGGGGGAAGATTTGCCCGACAACTCAAAGTGGAAACACTGGAAAGGAGTGGAAACACCAATTCCTGCTGCCACACAACTTGTGGAAACGAGGGAAGAGATTGATCATCATCATGGTATGGAATCACGAGCACGACATGCTGGGTGTGTACTCAACTTTGAGGAGCAAAAGGGCGAAGCCCATCGGAGGGTGCAGGGGGGAGAAGTAGGGGGCTGGGATCGGGGGGAGGAAGGAGGGAGTGGAAACTTGGGGCCGGAAAAGATAGGCGAGAGCTCACGGAGCCAAAGAGTGGTTTCCAAGGAGAGTTGTGGGATTAAAGAAATGGATGTGGCGGTGAAAGCGATTGGCATATCACCACATCGAGAAGACGACAACGATTCCGAGTCGAGAGGGACCAGAGGATTGGGGCAGTCGAAAGAAGTGTCACTGAAAGAAATGGAGGAAGGAAGGGGCAAGTTGGGCAACTGCTCTACAGCTGGAAAAGGGGCAATTACTCTACACTGTCTAGAGCGGGGAGGTGATGCTGACATTGCTGAGAGCGTTTTACTGTTTTTACAGCAGCAGGAAGAAGAGGGAGACGGACTTGTAGGGCAGGGGGAAAGAGTGGATGTTGTCGAGAGATCATACGGAGGAGAACTTGCCAGCCTGGAAGCCATCGCGCGTTCAAGCCGAGAAGAAGAAGAAGATGGGCGGAGAAGGTTGCAGCCGGAAGAAGCCGCTGTGACCGCCGTCGTTATAGAGCTGGGAGAGCGGGGAGAAGGCAGTCTAAGCTCGCACCAGGAAGAGGAGGGAGGGGGCAGTTGCCGCAGTGTGAGAGAGGTAAGAGCGGTAGGGGTTGAGGCCCTTGAGGGATTACGGAGACGAGAAGAGGACTGCCTGGAAGCGATTGGGAGGGTAGATTCTATGGAACGAGAAGAAGACGAGCATGGGAGAAAGCTGCAGCTGGGAGAGGGATGCGGGAAACGCAGTCTGGAGCGGGGAGGGGCATGTTGGAAAGTTGGTCTGCAGCCGGGAGCGGCATGCGGGATAATCAGTGTGCATGAGGGAGGGGCATGCCGGAAAGTCGGTCTGCATGAGGGAGGGGCATGCGGGAAAGTCAGTCTGAATGAGGGAGGGGCAGTCGAGGACGTTGGCCTGCAGGGGGTAGAGGCATTTGGGGAGGCTAGTCTGCAGCGGCGAGAGCTGGACAACATGGGTCTGGAAGTGGGTGGTGGTATTTCCGAGGCTGAAGTAGTCGGTGAGAACTCACCAGAGGGGGAAATACCCTGTGGGAGCTTGCAGCGGGGCGAAAGAGCGGTTGGGCGTAGACAAGGGGGCGAGCCACATGGCAGTCCGCTCGTCGTATTACCTACCGGTGTTGCGGAGGGGGTGGGTTTATCGAAGGGGAAAGAAGTCACTCTGACGCAGGGAGGAGAACCGCATAATAGAATGGATGCACTCGTGACCGCAAAGCCGGGGGCAGCTACAGGAGTGAGCTTGTCGCCTGCTTCTTCACCTCGGGGCGAAGTGGCAGAACGATATGCAGACGCAGAGGATGACCATAGTGCAGGCGTGAGTTCACGTGGAGAAGTAGCAAGAGTAGGAGTAGGAGCAGGAGGAGTAATAGGAGGAGGAGGAGGACGAGGAGGAGGAGGGAGTTCACTTGGACAAAACCCACTTGAGCCTGCTGCAGAAGTGCAAGATGCTGGTCTTAGGAAAGGCCCGGCATCACTTGGGCCTTCACAAGTGCAAGATCCTGCTGTCACGGAAGGCCCGGCATCACTTGGGCCTGTGCGCAAGGGTGAGCATTTGCACAGCGAAGACGTACACGTCGTACCTGCAAGTGTACCGTTGGGAAACCCGGACCCTCTACAACATGGTGTTCGTCGCCGCCTAAGCCATCGGAACGGGTGCTCCTCATATCACAAGGGAGGACAAGAAGAAGAAGAAGAAGAAGAAGAAGAAGAAGAAGAAGAAGAGGAGGAGGAGGAGGAGGAGGAGGAGGCGGATCAAAGGAGAAGAGAGGTGGTGGAAGAAGAATCACCGGGTGGGAAATGGGCGGACTCCGAGAGAGTGCTACCGAGCTCTGAACAGACTAGGAGGAAGAGGACACGCGCCGTATGTGACGATGGTTCGCTCTGTAGAGCAAAGAGGAGGAGACAAGGGAACCGGCCATCTACTGCAACCACCTCTATTCTCTCCTCTCCCTCTGTCCTCGCACATGAAGAGACCGTATTCCAGTCCCAGAGGAGGGGCAAGCAATACTCGGAAATTGAGCGGTGTGAACACTGTCACACGACTGAAGGCACTCCATTCCAGTCAACGCCAGTTGCAGTCCAGGTCAAAGAACCAGTCCTACGCCAAGTTCCAGGTCCAGCCGCAGGTACAGTTTCAGACCAAATTCCAGTGCAGGTCCAACAACCAGCCTCGGGTCCTCGATTGCAGTCGATTCCCGTTTCAGTCCAGGTCCAACAACCAGTCCTGGACCAAGTTCCAGGTCCAGACACAGGTTCAGTTTCAGACCAAGTTCCAGGCTCAGCCTCGGATCCAGTCCCAGGCTCAGGCGCAGTCCCACTCCGGGTCCCGGAGTCATTTCTACACCCAGTTCCAGGACCACTACTCCCAAACTCTCTCACATTTCCAGCCCTACTCGTAGACCCAGCTCCTACCCAGACTGGGGACACAGTTTCAGCTCCATTCTCACACACAGTCTCATTGTCACCCACGAATTCCACAATCCCTGCCCATGGCACGGTTCCTGTACGAGTCCCAGCTTCAGTCCCAGCTTCAGTCCCAGCTTCAGTCCCAAATCTAGACCCAGCCGATAGCATCACAGCAGCCCCATGCCAAGTTCCAGGTGCAGCTGCCGGCACAATTTCGGTTGTGCCCTCACAGCCGGTGGCAGGTTTGTTCTCAATCCCCGCAGTAGACCCAGTTCCAGGACTGATTCCAGGTACGGTCCCAGCTTCGGTTGCAACCCACATCATAGAACCAGGCCCATACCAAGTTCCAGGTGCGGTCCCACCAAAAGCAGTCCCAGACCCAGCCCCAGTCCCGGTCCCAAGTCCATGCTCCCTCGCTCTCCTCCCTCAATCCCTCCCTGCCAACCCATCCATGCTTCCTGCCTCTCCGTCCCTTTCCCATGCCCAGCTCCACCCGCTGTCATCGAACCCTCGTCGCCGGTCTCCCCGGTCTCACCCTGCCCCAACTCCCTCGCCCCAGTCTCAGTCCCGGCCTCCTAAATTCCAGTCTCGGTCGCGATCGCAGTCGAGGCGCAAGTGCATCTCTACATCCCGACCTCAGTCCAAGCCTCGTTCTCAATCTGAGTCCCAATCAGACTCTCACTCTAAGTTTCAGTCTGTGTCCTGGTCTGGCGTCAAGTCCCGATCTCAATCGGCGGTCTACGAGTCCCGATCTCAGCTTCAAACCCAATCCCAATCCGCGTTGTCAGACTGCAATCAGCCTCCGGACAGCTCACTGGTACTCGATAACCCTCTCTCACTAGCCCATGAAGCTTGGGATTCCATTGGCCACATGTCACGCCTTCATGCTGCGGCTCCCTTGTATCAGCAATTGCCACGTCAGCATGCCTCGTGGGCAGGCCTTCAGCTGCTACATCAGCACGCCTCCGAGCAGACTCTGGAGCTGCCACGCTGGCAGGCCTCCACCCACGTGGTCCCCCCGCTGCCACGTTATCAATCTCAGCCACCAGCTCTACGGATGCCACGTCAGCAGGATTCAAATCAGGCCCAAGAAATGACACGTCAGCGGGATTCCAATCAGGCTGAAGAGATGCCATGTCAGCAGGGTTCCAATCAGGCTGAAGAGATTCCACGTCAGCAGGATGCCAATCAGGCTGAAGAGATGCCACGTCAGCAGGATTCCAGCCGGCCGAAAGAAACGCCACGTCAGCAGGATTCCAATCACGCTGAAGAAATGCCAGGTCAGCAGGACTCCAATCACGCTGAAGAAATGCCACCTCAGCAGGATTCCAATCA